GGGTCAGGGACAGGGGGACCCCAATTTATGGGTCAGGGTGGCCCCAAACCCCCTGTCCGGGACTGGGGTACCCCAATCTGTGGGTCAGGGGTGACCCCAGAGCTGGTCCCGCCGCCCCGCGGGGTCAGTGGGGCAGAGGTGGGGGTGGGGCCGCCCGTGGGGTGCCCATAATTGGGAGGCAGGGGCGGCTGCCCCACATTCTGGGCCCTTCCCTCACCCCGCCCCGCTAATTGGGTGGGGCGGGAGGGCGTGTGGGGTGTGGGGGGTGGGGCGCGGATAAAGGGGACCCCTCACCGGGGCCCCCGGCACCCACCCAGGATGGAGCGGGCTGCGGCTGCTGCTGCTGCTCGGAGCCGTCCTCGGGGGTGCGCTGGGGGGCCCGGGGGTCCTGGGGGCCTTTGGGTGCTGGGGGGCCTATGGGTGCTGGGGGTGCTGTGGGTGCTCAGGGATGCTGGGGGGCCTAGGGGGCCTTTGGGTGCTGAGGGGGTCCTATGGGTGCTGGGGGTCCTATGGGTGCTATAGGGTGCTGGGAGGATCTGGGGGTCCTGGGAGGCCCTTTGGGTGCTGGGGGTCCTAGGGGTCCTAGGGGTGCTGGGGGTCTAGGGTGCTATGGGGACCTTTGGGTGCTGGGGGTCCTAGGGGTGCCAGGCCGTTGGGGTCCTATGGGTGCTGGGGGTCCTATGGGTGTCTATGGGTGCTGGGGGTCCCATGGGTGCTGGGGGTCCTATGGGTGTCTATGGGGTGCTGGGGGGTCCCATGGGTGCTGGGGGTCCTGTAGGTGCTATGGGGCTGCTGTGGGGTCCTATGGGTGCTGGGGGTCCTATGGGTCCTGTGGATGCTGGGGCCTAGGGTGCGTGGGGGTCCTATGGGTGCTGGGGGTCCTATGGGTGCTGTGGGATGCTGGGGGTCCCTATGGGTGCCAGGGGTGGGGGCCCATGGGTGCTGGGGGTCCTATGGGTGCTGGGGTCCTATGGGTGCTGGGGGTGCTGTGGGTGCTATGGGGTGCTGGGGGTCCTATGGGGTGCTATGGGTGTCTGGGGGTCCCATGGGTGCTATGGGGTGCTGGGAGAGTCCTAGGGGTGCTATGGGGTGCTTGGGGTGCCCGGGGGTCCTAGGGGGTCTTATGGGTTGCTGGGGGGGTCCTATGGGGTGCTGTGGGGGTCCCATGGGTGTCTATGGGGTGCTGTGGGGTCCCATGGGTGTGCGGGGTCTCTATGGGAGTTCTGGGTGCTATGGGGTGCTGGGGGTCCCATGGGTGCTGAGGGTCCTAGGGGTGCTGTGGGATGCTGTGGGGTCCTATGGGTGCTGTGGGGTGCTGTGGGTCCTGTGGATGCTAGGGGGTTCTGGGGGTCCCGGGGGTGCCATGGGTGCTGAGGGGGTCCCATGGGTGCTATGGGGTGCTGGGGGATCTAGGGGTCCTATGGGTGCTATGGGGTGCTGAGGGGGTCCCATGGGTGCTGAGGGGTCCCATGGGTGCTCTGGGGGTCCTAGGGGGTGCTGGGGGATCCTATGGGGTGCTGTGGGGTGTTCTGGGGGTCCTATGGGTGCTGGGGGCAAAGGGGTGTTCTGGGGGTCCCATGGGGTGCTATGGAGGTGCTGGGGGTCCTATGGGTGCTATGGGGTTGCTGTGGGGTCCCATGGGCGCTAGGGGTGCTGGGTGGTCCTATGGGTGCCATGGGGTGTAGGGGTTGTGCTGGGGTCCCACAGGGTGCTATGGGGTGCTGTGGGGTGAGGGGGTCCTGTGGGGTGCTGGGGGGGTCCTATGGGTGCTGGGGGCTCTATGGGGTCCCATGGGTGCTGGAGTAGCCTGGGGTGCAGTGGGGTCCCCTGGGCTGCTGGGGGGTCTGTGAGGGTCCCACGGGTGCTGGGGGCTCTCTGGGGTCCTGTGGGTGCTATGGGGTGGGGGGGTGTTGGGGTACTGGGGGCCTTATGGGTGCTCTGGGGTTCTGTGGGGTCTCCAGGGGTGCTGTGGGTGCCGTGGGGCACCCTGGGGTGCTCTGGGGTCCTGTGGGGTCCCAGGGGCTCTGGGGTGCTCTGGGATGCTCTGGGGTCCTGTGGGGTCCCAGGGGTCTCTGGGTGCTCTGGGGTCCTGTGGGGTCCCAGGGGGTCTCTGGGGTGCTCTGGGGTCCTGTGGGGTCCCAGGGGGGTCTCTGGGGTGCTCTGGGGTCCTGTGGGGCCCAGGGGGTTCTGGGGTGCTCTAGGTGCTGTGGGGAGGGGTGTGCATAGGGGTCCCATGGGTGCTGGGGGTCCATTGGGTGCTTTGGGGACACCGGGGGCTGTCCCCGGACACCCCCTGACCCTTCTCCCCTCCCCCACAGCCTTGGCATGACCCCTCCGGGCCGCCCCCACCCCCTCGGGCGACCCCCTGGATGTCCCTTCGGCGCCCCTCCCCCCGCCCACCCTCCCCTCTGCCGCCCGGCTGCGACCCCCAGCAGGGGGGAGGGACAGCGACCTCGAGGGCCACCGATGGCCCCCCCGGAGGTGCCACCACAGAGGGGACAGCCCCAGGAGGGGACGTGGCCCTGGAGGGGACGGGCGGCTCCGGTGCCACCAACTGCTCTGGGGACACTTTGGGACACCTCAATGAGGTCTCTGGAGATGCCACCACCCCAGCTGGACCTGTCCCCACATCCCCCGGAGGTGACACGATGGTGGTGGCCACCGGTGGGGATTTGGCTTTGGAGGGGACACAACAACCAGGTGTCACCAACGATCCTGGGGACACTTTGGGACACCTCAATGACATCTATGAAGATGCCACCACCCCGGTGACCCCTGTCACAGTGTCCCCAGGAGGGGACAAGGTCCTGGTTGTCACCAGCAGTGACATCAGTGTGGAGGGGACAAACAAGCCCGGTGTCACCGGTGACCCCAGTGACCCCGAGGGACACCTCAATGACGTCTCTGAAGGTGCCACCACCCCGGCTGGACCTGTCCCCACGTCCCCAGGAGGTGACACGATGGTGGTGGCCCCCGGTGGGGACGTGGCCCTGGAGGGGACAGCCCAGCCTGGTGTCACCGGTGACCCCAGTGACCCCGAGGGACACCTCAATGAGGTCAATGGAGATGCCACCACCCCGGTGGCCCCTGTCACAGTGTCCCCAGGAGGAGACAAGGTCCTGGTTGTCACCAGCAGTGACGTCATTGTGGAGGGGACAGCCCAGCCCGGCGTCACCAGTGACCCCAGGGACACTTTGGGACACCTCAATGACATCAATGGAGATGCCACCACCCTGGTGGCTCCTGTCCCCACGTCCCCAGGAAGTGACAGGATGGTGGTGGCCCCTGGTGGGGACGTGGCCCTGGAGGGGACAGACCAGCCCAGCGTCACCGGTGACCCCAGGGACACTTTGGGTCGTGCCACCGAGGTCTACGGTGATGCCACCACCCTGGCTGGACCTGTCCCCACGTCCCCAGCAGGTGACAAGGTCCTGGTGGCCACCCCTGAGGACGTGGCCCTGGAGGGGACGGGTGGCTCCGGTGCCACCAACTGCTCTGGGGACACTTTGGGACACCTCAATGACATCTCTGAAGGTGCCACCACCCCAGCTGGACCTGTCCCCACGTCCTCAGGAGGTGACACGGTCCTGGTTGCCACCAGCAGTGATGTTGTCGCGGAGAGGACAGAAGAACCAGGTGTCACCGGTGACCCCAGGGACACTTTGGGACACCTCAATGAGGTCTCTGAAAGTGCCACCACCCTGGCTGGACCTGTCCCCACATCCCCAGGGAGTGACAGGATGGTGGTGGCCCCTGGTGGGGATGTGGCCCTGGAGGGGACAGCCCAGCCCGGTGTCACCGGTGACCCTGGGGACACTCTGGGACACCTCAATGAGGTCTCTGAAGGTGCCACCACCCTGATGACCCCTGTCACAGTGTCCCCAGGAGGGGACAAGGTCCTGGTGGCCACCAGCAGTGATGTCATCGCAGAGGGGACAGAAGAACTAGGTGTCACCAGTGACCCCAGTGACCCTGGGGACACTTTGGGACACCTCAATGACGTCTCTGAAGGTGCCACCACCCCAGCTGGACTTGTCCCCACATCCCCAGGAGGTGACACGGTGCTGGTGGCCACTGGCAGTGATGTCAGTGTGGAGGGGATGGGCGGCTCCGGTGCCACCAACTGCTCTGGGGACACCGCAGGACGCGTCATTGAGACCTACAGAGGTGCCACCACCTCTGTCACCCCAGCCCAGGGAGGGGACAACCTCGTGGTGGTCACCCAGGGGGACATCACCGTGGAGGGGACGGGCCAGCCGGGTGTCACCAGTGACCCCAGGGACACTCTGGGACACCTCAATGACATCTCTGAAGGTGCCACCACCCCGGCTGGGCTTGTCCCCACATCCCCAGGAAGTGACACGGTCCTGGTGGCCACCCCTGAGGACGTGGCCTTGGAGGGGACAGAACAACCGGGTGTCACCGGTGACCCTGGGGACACTTTGGGACACCTCAATGACATCTCTGAAGGTGCCACCACCCCAGCTGGGCTTGTCCCCACGTCCCCAGGAGGTGACACGGTGCTGGTGGCCACTGACAGTGACGTCAGTGTGGAGGGGACACAACAACCAGGTGTCACCAATGCCCCTGGGGACACTCTGGGACACCTCAATGAGGTCTATGGAGATGCCACCACCCTGATGACCCCTGTCACAGTGTCCCCAGGAGGGGACAAGGTCCTGGTTGTCACCAGCAGTGACGTCATCGCAGAGGGGACAGAAGAACTAGGTGTCACCAGCGATCCTGGGGACACTTTGGGACACCTCAATGAGGTCTCTGAAGGTGCCACCACCCTGGTGGCTCCTGTCCCCACATCCCCAGGAAGTGACAGGATGCTGGTGGCCCCTGGTGGGGATTTGGCTTTGGAGGGGACACAACAACCAGGTGTCACCAGTGACCCCAGGGACACTCTGGGACACCTCAATGAGGTCTCTGAAGGTGCCACCACCCCGGTGTCCCCTGTCACGGTGTCCCCAGGAGGGGACAAGGTCCTGGTGGCCACCCCTGGGGCGGTGGCCCTGGAGGGGACAGCCCAGCCCGGCGTCCCCAACTGCCCCGGGGCCACCTCAGGACGTGTCCCCGAGGTCCTGGTGGGCTCTGCCCCCACCCCCACCCCCACCCCGGTGACCCCCGACCCCACCCCCACCCCGGTGACCCCCGACCCCACCCACCCCAGAGGTGACACCGTCATGGTGGCCCCTGGAGGGGACATCTCCCTGGGGGCTCTGCTGTCCCCAACTGCTCTGGGGACCCTTCGGGACCCCCCAGAGGTGCCACCACCCCTGCCCGCCCCTCCCCACCACCCCCAGGGGTGACACCGTCATGGTGGCCCCGGGGACATCGCCCTGGGGGAGGGGACGGAGGTCCTGGGGTGACAAGGCCGGGGGTGGTCCCGGAAGTCACCCCCGCCCCTCCCCCACCACCCGCTGCGCCCCTCCCCTAGCCCGCCAGCGGCCCCCAACGTGTTCCCGGTGACGGCCGCCCCTCCCCACGGGGCCCCGGGGTCTCCTCTGGCTCCTCCCCCCTCCCTCATCACCCCTCCCCTCCTGCTCCTGCTGCTGCCCCTCCCCTCCTCCTGCCCTGAGCGCCCCTCCCCACCCCAATATTTATTGCAGGTCCCTCCCCTCCCCCAATAAACCATGGATTGATGATTGATCGGCTCTGTGTTGGTCTCAAGGTGGGGAGGGGCGGTGGGGACACCTCCTGCCCCTCCCCACCCTCTCCAAAGTGCCCCTCCCCCACTCTCTTTCCCAGTTTCATCGTTTCCTTCCCCAAAAAGGGAAACTTGTGGGGGAGGTGGGGAGGGGGAGGGGAGGGGCGTCAGACAGGCTCCTCCCCCACCCCCTTATAAAGGAGAATCCCAAAATCTGCCCCCAGGAGGAATTCGGACCATGAGCCCCAGGGGGTGGGGGTGGGGTGGGGTGGTGCTGCTCTGGGGGCTGCTGGATGCCAGGTACCCTCCCCACCCACCCCTCCCCACCCCCAGCCCTCCCCACCATCCTGACCCTTCCCATCTCCCTCCCCACTTTGACCCTCCCCACAAACCTTGACCCTCCCCACCTTGACCCTCTCCTCTCCTCATCCCTCCCCCCCTCCCCCTCCCCATCTTGACCCCTCCCCACTTTGACCCCTCATTTCAACCCCTCCCCCATCATCCTGACCCTTCCCCCTCCCCCATTCCTGACCCCTCCCCATCTCCCCTCCCATCTCCCCTCCCCACTGTGACCCCTCCCCACCTTGACCCCTCCCCTCATCCTGACCCCTCCCCACCACCCTCCCCACCTGACCCCTCCCCCACCTTGACCCCTCCCCCTCATCCTGACCCTTCCCCACTTCCCTCTCCCCCCACCCCTCCCTCGCCCAAATCACCCCTCCCCCTCATCCCTGACCCCTCCCCACCCTGACCCCTCCCTCCCCAAATCGCCCCTCCCCACCCTCCCCTTTAACCCCTTCTATTTTTATTTTTTGGGGGGGTTGGAGTTTTATGACCCTCCTCCCCTCCCCTTCCCCCCCCAGCATCCCCTCCCTGCGCTGCCCCCTCTGTGACGTCACCGGGTGCCGCCCCGTCCCCTGCCCCTCCCCCCACTCCGTTTGTCGCCGCACGACCCTCACGACCCTCGCAGGTAAAATTTGGGGGAGGGAGGTCAGGGTGACCTTTGACCTCGAAGAGGTCAAAGGTCACCCTGACCCCCTTCCCCCCCCAAGGTGGTCGAGTGCTGACGAGAGAAGAGGGAGGATGTGACGTCATCGGCCCCGCCCCCTCCTCCTCCTCACCTTCCGCTCCCACGGCGAGCTCGTCACGCTGCGGGAGGAGCGCTGGGGAGGGGCTCCCCTCCCTCCCCCTCCCCCACTCGGCCTCGCGTGAGTTCATTTTGGATTAAAATTAAAGGGGGGAGGGGGTTTGTGGAGGCCACGCCCTTTTTTAAGAGGCCACGCCCCTTTATTTTTAAGCCACGCCCTTCTAATTTTAAGCCACGCCCCCTTTTTTAAAGCTCGTTGGCGCCCCCTGCTGTGCCGGACGTGCGACAGCTCCGATGGTTCCTGTGGGGGGCGCCATTTTCCGGCGGAAGCGGAAGTGACGGAGAAGACGGCGCCGGAAGTGACGGAGGAGGCGGCGCCGGAAGTGAGGTCGGAAAGAGCAAAGAAAACCCTACCGGAAGTGAGACCGGAAGTGGGACAAGAAGAAGCGGAAATGACGTCAGAAGCTGCGCCGGAAGTGCTGCGCTGCCCCCGCCCAAGCGACTCCTGCCTCGACGTCACCATCCGCGCGCCCGGGCAGGGTGGGGGAGGGGCTAAAAATGGAGGGGGAGGAGGAGGGTCCTGGGTGGGGAAAAGGGGTTCTGAGTGGGGGGAAGGGGGATGAGGTCAAGGGTGGGGGAGGGGAGGCGAGGCCAAGGGGGGAAGGGCAGGGCCAGAAATGGGGGCGTGGTCAAATGAGAGGAGGGAGCGGGGGTCTTGGGTGGGGGTGGGCCAGAGGTGGTCCCAGAGGTCGGGGGCACGGGGGACGGGGGTCACGTGGAGGGGTCAGGGGTCACGGGGGGTCAGAGGTCACGGGGGAGGGGTCTCGTGGTGGTGGTGGGAGGGGAGGGTCCTGAGTGGGGAGGGGTCCTGAGTGGGGAGGGGCTTCCTCCTCTCCCTAATTTGAAGGGGAGGGGTCGTGTGGGGAGGGAGGTGACCTCTGACCCCCTGACCCCATGACCCCTCGTGACCCTGGTGACCCCTGACCCCGCAGTGGGGAGGGGCGGCTCTGGGCTGCGGCTCCGCCGGGCCCTGCCGGGTCTCGTCGCCTTCGACTCCGGGAGAGGCCGAAGGGTCGCCCTGAGGTGCTGCCAGGGGGACCTCTGCCAGCCTGGTGGGCACTGGGGCACTGGGGGACTGGGAGGGACTGGGAGGACTGGGAGGGACTGGGAGGGGATTGGGGGCTGCCAGGGGGACCTGTGCCAGCCTGGTGGGCACTGGGAGGGACTGGGAGGGGACTGGGAGGGGATTGGGGGCTGCCAGGGGGACCTCTGCCAGCCTGGTGGGCACTGGGAGGGCACTGGGGGGGACTGGGAGGGACTGGGAGGGGATTGGGATGAACTGGTTTGGGCTGGGAGGGATTGGGAGGGAGTTAAAGAGGGTTTAGAGGGGACTGGGGGGCACTGGGAGAGACTGGGAGGGACTGGGAGGGACTGAGAAGGGATTGGGTGGGCTGGGATATACTGGGAGACAACTGGGATACACTGGGGGGACACTGGGAGGGCACTGGGATGGACTGGGAGGGCACTGGGATTGATTGGAAGGCACTGGCATATATTGGGAGGGCACTGGGATGGACTGGGAGGTCACTGGGGTGGACTGGGAAGGCACTGGGATGGACTGGGAGGTCACTGGGATGAACTGGGAGCACTCCAGGCGAGCAGCCAACCTTTACTGGGACATACTGGGAGACAACTGGGATGTACTGGGGGACAACTGGGATGTACTGGGGGACAACTGGGACGTACTGGGGGACAACTGGGATGTACTGGGAGGTCCCTGGGGGGGAACTGGGGGTCCGCTTGGCACATTTTGGGCCCTGGTTCCTACTGGTTTATACTGGTTTACAGTGGTTTATACTGGTTTATGGTGGATTTTACTGGTTTATACTGGTTTGGGGTGATTCATACTGGTCTGTACTGGTCTGTACTGGTGCAGAGGAGGACCCTCCCCCCTCGGGGCTGCTCTGCTGGGGCTGTGACGGCCCCGACGCCCCCCAGGGCTGCGACCCCCGAGTGGTGCCGTGTGGGGGGGGCCGGACCCGCTGTGCCACCGCCAGGACCTACGGTGGGGGGGGCTGGGGGCTCTGGGGGGTTTGGGGGGATTGGGGGGCTTTGAGGGGGGTTTAGGGGGATTTGGGGGTTTGAGGGGATTTGGGGGTTTGGGGGATTTGAGGGGGATTTGAGGGGATTTGGGGGTTTGGGGGATTTGGGGAGGATTTGGGGGATTGGGGAGATTTGGGGGTTTGGGGGGATTTGGGGGATTTAGGGGGGTTTGGGGGAGTTGGGGGTTTGGGGGATTTGGGGGTTTTGGGGAGTTTGGGGGATTTGAGGGGATTTGGGGGGATTTGGGGGATTTGATGGGGGTTTGGGGGGTTTGGGGGGATTTGGGGGTTGAGGGGATTGGGGGATTTGGGGAGTTTAAGGGGGGATTTGGGGGATTTGGGGGGTTGAGGGGGATTTGAGAGGGTTTGAGGGGATTTGGGGGTTTGAGGGGATTTAGGGGGATTTGGGGGGATTGGTGGGGATTTTGGGGGGGATTTGGGGGGATTTGAGGGGGTTGGGGGGCTTGGGGAGGATTTGGAGGGGCGTTTGGAGGGATTTGGGGGGATTTGGGGAGATTTGGGAGGGGTTATGGGGGTTTGGGGGATTTGGGGGTTGTTTGGGGGAGATTTGGAGGGATTTGGGGGTTATTGGGGAGCTTGAGGGGATTTGGGAGGTTGGGGGAATTGGGGGAATTTTTGGGGGAAATTTGGGGGAAATTTGGGGGATTTGGGGGATTTGGGGGTCTGTGGGGTCTCCATGGGGTGGGGGTCCCTATGGGGGTCTGGGGATCTCTATGGGGTGGGGGTCTGAGGGATCTCTGGGGGTCTCAGTGGGTCTGGGGGTCCCATGGGGTGGAGGGGGTCTTCATGGGGTTGGGGGTTCTCTCTAGGGGTCTCTTGGGTCTGGGGTCCCTATGGGGCCTGAGGGGTCTCTGGGGGTCTCAGTGGGTCTGGGGTCCCTGACCCCTCCCCAATTCTCTCCCTCCCACCCAGGCCCCCTCGGGGAGCCGTGGCTGGTCCGGGGCTGTGCGACCCCTCGTGGTGCGAGACCCCGTGGGGTTGGGGGAGGGGCTGTGGGGATCCTCCTCTGCTGCCTCGGGGGGCTCTGCAATCGCCTCCCGGGGACCCTGCGGGCAGCGCCGGCCCCTCCCTCCTGCCTCTCCCCCACCCCTCCTTCCCCTCCCCTCCTCCTTCCCTCCTCCTCTAGGGCGGCTAGGGGGACCCTGCCCACTTATTTGGGAGGGCCACACCTCTGCCCCACCCTCTGCCCCGGGGGACCCTCCCGTGGGGCAGGGTGGGCCCCCCAGAACTCCCACCCCCCTTTGTTATGGGGGTGGGGGCTGTTGAGTCACTCTGGGGGTGACTCAGGAGTTTGGGCCGGGCTGGGATGGGGGAGGGGGGATGGCAGGGCTGGGGGCAGGGCTGGGGCTGATGTTCTGGGGGCAGCGCTGTGGATGCCATGCTATGGGGCAGAGCTGGAGGCCACGGAGCCCACGAGCGCTGTGGGGCCACGCTGGGGGCTGGGAAGCTGTAGGGCCATTGCTATGGGGCAGGGGAGGTCATGGAGCCCTGTAGGGCCGTGCTATGGGGCTGGGAAGCTGGAGGGCCGTGCTATGGGGCAGGGAGGTCATGGAGCTCTGTAGGGCCACACAATGGGGCAGGGAGGCTGTGGGGCCAGCTATGGGCAGGAGGTCAGTGAGCCTGTAGGGCCGTGCTATGGGGCAGGGAGGCTGTGGGGCCGTGCTATGGGGCAGGGGAGGTCATGGAGCTCTGTAGGGCCACACAATGGGGCAGGGAGGCTGTGGGGCCGTGCTATGGGGCAGGGGAGGTCATGGAACCCTATAGGACCATGCTATGGGGCAGGGAGCTCTGTAGGGCCACCCTATGGGGCAGGGAGGCTGTGGAACCCTATAGAGCTGAGCTATGGGGCAGGGAATCCTATAGGGGCACCCTATGGGGCAGGGAATCCTATAGGGCCATCCTATGGGGCAGGGAGCTCTGTAAGACCACCCTATGGGGCAGGGAATCCTATAGGGCATTCTATGGGGCAGGGAATCCTATAGGGCACTCTATGGGGCAGGGAACTCTGTAAGACCACCCTATGGGGCAGAGAACCCTATAGGGCCATCCTATGGGGCAGGGAGCTCTGTAGGGCCATCCTATGGGGCAGGGAGCTCTGTAGGACCACCCTATGGGGCAGGGAATCCTATAGGGCCACCCTATGGGGCAGGGAGCTCTGTAAGACCCCTCTATGGGACAGGGAATCCTATAGGGCATTCTATGGGGCAGGGAATCCTATAGGGGCACCCTATGGGGCAGGAGCTCTGTAAGATCATCCTATGGGGCAGGGAATGCTATAGGGCACCCTATGGGGCAGGGAGGTTGGAAGACCACCCTATGGGGCAGGGAGCTCTGTAAAACCACCCTATGGGGCAGGGAGTTTGTAACACCACCCTATAGGGCAGGGAGTCCTCTCCCACCGCTCCGTGGGGCGGGGGGATCCCAGAGGGCCGAGCTGTGGGGCGGGGAGCCCCGAGGGCCCCCCACCCTGACCCCACCCAGGCCCCACCCGGTCCCCGCCGCCATAAATGGGGCGGTTCTGCCCCACGGGCCCCCGGGCCGGGCCGACGTGTGGGGCAGGGCCATGGGGGGGGCCCGGCTGCTGCCGCTGCTGCCGCTGCTGCTGCTGCTGCCAACGGGTACGGGGGGCACTGGGGCACTTGGGGGTGTGGGGTGAGGGGGTACAGGGAGCACTGAGTGGGGTGTGGAGATTTGGGGGCCACTGTGGGGCTGGAGGGGTGTCAGGGGCTGTGGGACAGGGCTGTGGAGCAAGGGGGTGTCAGGGCCCAAATCTGTGGGGCATGGGGGTTTTGGGGTCAGATCTGTGGGGCAGGGGGTGGGATCAAATCTGTGGGGCAGGGGGTTGTAGGGTCAGATCTGTGGGGCAGGGGGTGTCAGGGCCCAGATCTGTGGGGCAGGGGGTTTTTGGGGGTCAGTTCTGTGGGGCAGGGGGTGTCAGGGGTCAGATCTGTGGGGCAGGGGGTTTTAGGGGTCAGACCTGTGAGGCAGGGGGTGTGGGATCAGATCTGTGGGGCAGGGGAGGTTTGGGGTCAGATCTGTGGGGCAGGGGGTTTTTGGGGGTCAGTTCTGTGGGGCAGGGGGTTGTCAAAGGTCAGATTTGGGGGCAGGGGGGTGTCAGGGCTTAGATCTCTGGGGCAGGGGGTGGGGTCAGATCTATGGGGCAGGGGGTTTTAGGGATCAGATCTGTGGGGCAGGGGGTTTTTGCAGGGTCAGATCTGTGGGGCAAGGGGTGGGATCAGATCTGTGGGGCAGGGGGTGTCAGGCCCAGATCTGTGGGGCAGGGGGTTTTGGGGGTCAGATCTGTGGGGCAGGGGGTGGGATCAGATCTGTGGGGCAGGGGGTGGGACTCAGATCTGTGGGGCAGGGGGAGTTGGGGAGTTTTAGGGGCCCTGGGTTGGGCCAGGACAGGCCAGGACACGTCGGGGCCCCGCGGGGAAGGCGCTGCCCCCACGGCCCGGGACGTGGGGCGGGGGACGGCGTGTGGGGCCGGTGACGTGGGGGGAGGGACCCACAGGGGGTGGGAATGAGATGGGGGCAGGGACTGAGATGTGGGGCTGATCTATGGGCAGGGACTGATCTGGGGGGCAGGGATTGAGGTGTGGGGCAGGGACTGAGATGGGGGGCAGGGATTGAGATGTGGGGCCAATCTATGGGGCAGGGACTGAGGTGTGGGGCAGGGATTGAGATGTGGGGCCAATCTGTAGGGCAGGGACTGATCTATGGGGTTTTTCTATGGGGCAGTCACTGATCTGTGGGGTCTCTCTCTATGGGGCAGGGTCTGTGGGGCTGCAGTGCCTGAGCTGTGGGTCCCAGGACGGCAGGGATTGATCTGGGGGGCAGGAACTGTTCGGGGGGGTTTTTCTGTGGGGCAGGGACTGAGATGTGGGGCAGGGACTGATCTGTGGGGCAGGGATGGATCTGGGGGGCAGGGATTGAGATGTGGGGTCAATCTGTAGGGGAGGGACTGGTCTATGGGGCTGATCTATGGGGCAGAGACTGATCTGTGGGGCAGGGACTGAGATGTGGGACAGGGACTGATCTGGGGGTCTGTCTCTGCCCCACAGACTCTGTGGGGCTGCAGTGCCTGAGCTGTGGGTCCCAGGACGGCAGTGACTGATTTATGGGGTTTTCCTGTGGGGCAGTGACTGATTTATGGGGTTTTTTTGTGCCCCACAGACTCTGTGGGGCTGCAGTGCCTGAGCTGTGGGTCCCAGGACAGCAGTGACTGATTTATGGGGTTTTTCTGTGGGGCAATCACTGATCTATGGGGTTTTTCTGTGGGTCTCAGGTTCTATGGGGCTGCAGTGCCTGAGCTGTGGGTCCCAGGACGGCAGTGAATGATTTATGGGGTTTCTCTGTGGGGCAATCACTGATCTATGGGTTTTTCTCTGCCCCACAGACTCTGTGGGGCTGCAGTGCCTGAGCTGTGGGTCCCAGGACGGCAGTGACTGATCTGTGGGGTTTCTCTGTGGGGCAGTAACCAATCTATGGGGTTTTTTTGTGGGTCCCAGGTTCTATGGGGCTGCAGTGCCTGAGCTGTGGGTCCCAGGACGGTCGCTGTCCCGAGGCCACCAACGTCACCTGCCCCCCTGACAGCGACGTCTGCGCCGAGGCCCTGGCGGCCGTCACGTGGAGTGAGGGGGCTGGGGGGGTCTTTATGGGGTCTTTATGGGGTCCTGGGGGGGTCTATGGGGTCTCTATGGGGTCCCTATGGGGCTGGGGGCTCAGGGGGTCTCTATGGGGTCCTGAGGGGGCTCTATGGGGTGTCTATGGGGCTGGGGGGTCTCTATGGGGTCTCTATGGGGTCCTGGGGGGGTCTATGGGGTCTCTATGGGGTCCTGGGGGTCTCTATGGGGTCTCTATGGGGTCCGGGGGTCTATGGGGTCTCTTTGGGGCTGGGGGTTCTCTATGGGGTCTCTATGGGGTCCTGAGGGGGTCTCTATGGGGTTCCTGTGGGGCTGGGGGCTCATGGGGGCCTGGATGGGGGTGTCTATGGGGTCTCTGTGGGGCTGGGGGCTCTATGGGGTCTCTGGGGGTCCTGGGGAGGTCTATGGGGTCCCTGTGGGGCTGGGGGCCTGGGGTCCCTGTGGGGTCTCTATGGGGTCCTGGGGGTCCCTGTGGGGCTCCTATGGGGCTGGGGGTCCCTGTGGGCTCCTATGGGGCTGGGGGTCTCTATGGGGTCCTAGGGGGTCCCTATGGAGCTCAGGGGGTCCCTGTGGGTCTCTATGGGGTCTCTGTGGGGCTGGACGGGGTCTCTATGGGGTCCTGGGGGTCTCTATGGGGTCTCTGTGGGTCCTGGGGGTCTATGGGGTCTCTGTGGGGCTGGGGGCTCTATGGGGTCTTTATGGGGTCCTGGGGGTCTCTATGGGGTCCTGGGGGTCTCTATGGGGTGTCTATGGGGTCGGGGATCTCTATGGGGTCTCTATGGGGTCCCTGTGGGGTCTCTTTGGGGCTGGGGGATCTCTATGGGGTCTCTATGGGGTCCTGGGGGGGTCTATGGAGTCTCTGGGGGTCCTGGAGGGTCTCTATGGGGTCCCTGTGGGGTCTCTATGGGGTCCTGGGGGTCTCTGGGGGTCTCTTTGGGGCTCAGGGGTCTCTATGGGGTCCTGGGGGCTCTCCTGTGGGGCTGGGGGGTCCCTGTGGGGTCTCTGTGGGGCTGGGGGCCCTCAGGGGGTCCCTGTGGGGGCTGGGACCGGGGTCTCTGTGGGGTCTCTGTGGGGGTGGGGGGTTCTGGGGGTCCCTATGGGGTCTCAGGGGTCTATGGGGTCTCTGTGGGGTCTGGGAGGGTCTATGGGGTCTCTATGGGGTCTCTATGGGTCCTGGGGGGTCTATGGGGTCCCTCTGGGGCTGGGGGTCTCTATGGGGTCTCTATGGGGTCCTGGGGGTCTCTATGGGGTCTCTATGGGGTCCTGGGGTCTCTGGGGTCCTGGGGGCTGGGGGGTCTCTGGGGGTCCTGGGGGTCTCTATGGGGTCTCTTTGGGGCTGGGGGGCCTCTGGGGCGTCCCTGTGGGGTCTCTTTGGGGCTGGGGGGGTCTCTATGAGGTCTCTGTGGGGTCTCTATAGGGTCTCTATGGGGTTTTTACGGGTCTGGGGTCTCTATGGGGTGTTTATGGCGTCTCTCTGGGCTTTTTGGGGTCCCTCTGGGTTTTTTGTGGGTCTGGGGTCTCTCTATAGGGTTTCTATGGGTTTTTATGGGTCTGGGGTCTCTATGGGGTTTTTGGGGTCTCTATGGGGTTTTGGGGTTTCTATGGAGTTTTTGGGGTCTCTATGGGGTCTGGGGTCTCTCTATGGGGTTTTATGGGTCTGGGGTCTCTCTATGGGGTGTTTATGGGTCTGGGGTCTCTATGGGGTGTTTATGGGTCTGGGGTCTCTCTATGGGGTGTTTTATGGGTCTGGGGTCTCTCTATGGGGTGTTTTATGGGTCTGGGGTCTCTCTATGGGGTTTTATGGGTCTGGGGTCTCTCTATGGGGTTTTTATGGGTCTGGGGTCTCTCTATAGGGTTTCTATGGGGTTATTTATGGGTCTGGGGTCTCCCCCCCGCAGGTCACGGCCGGTTTGCGCTGGTGGGTGTGGCTGTGGGCGGGGCCAGCCCGGGGGTCTCTGTGGGGTCTCTATGGGGTTTTTGGGATCTCTATGGGGTTTTTGGGGTTTCTGAGGATGTTTTATGGGTCTGGGGTCTCTCTATAGGGTTTCTATGGGTTTTTATGGGTCTGGGGTCTCTATGGGGGTGTTTTAATGGGTCTGGGGTCTCTCTATGGGGCTTTTATGGGTCTGGGGTCTCTCTATAGGGTTTCTATGGGTTTTTATGGGTCTGGGGTCTCTCTATGGGGTTTTTATGGGGTTTTTGGGATCTCTATGGGGTGTTTATGGGTCTGGGGTCTCTCTATGGGGTTTTTAATGGGTCTGGGGTCTCTCCCCCGCAGGTCACGGCCGGTTTGCGCTGGGTGGGCGTGGCTGTGGGCGGGGCCAGCCCGGGGTCTCTGTGGGGTCTCTATGGGGTCTCTATGGGGTTTTTGGGGTTTCTGAGGGTGTTTTATGGGTCTGGGGTCTCTCTATAGGGTTTCTATGGGTTTTTATGGGTCTGGGGTCTCTATGGGGTGTTTTATGGGTCTGGGGTCTCTCTATGGGGTGTTTATGGGTCTGGGGTCTCTATGGGGTTTTTATGGGTTTTTATGGGTCTGGGGTCTCTCTATGGGTTTTTATGGGTCTGGGGTCTCTCTATGGGTTTTTATGGGTCTGGGGTCTCTCCCCCCGCAGGTCACGGCCGGTTTGCGCTGGGTGGGCGTGGCTGTGGGCGGGGCCAGCCCGGGGGTCTCTGTGGGGTCTCTATGGGGTTTTAATGGGTCTGGGGTCTCTATAGGGTTTCTATGGGGTTTTTAATGGGTCTGGGGAGTTTTTAATGGGTCTGGGGTCTCTCCCCCCGCAGGTCATGGGCGGTTTGCTCTGGGTGGGCGTGGCTGTGGGCGGGGCCAGCCCGGGGCCCTCGCCCGGGCCCTGGAGCTTTTGGGGCTCGTGGTGTTCGAGCGGCGCCGTCACTGCGGGGGAGGGGCCTGCAACCACCACCTGCCCCTCGGCCAGCAGGGGGCGCTGCCCCTGCCCGGTACGGGGGGCGCTGGGGGGGCACTGGGAGGGACTGGGAGGGCACTGGGAGGGACTGGGAGGGGATTGGGATAAACTGGGAGGGATTGGGAGGCACTGGGAGGGCACTTGGGAGGGACTGGGAGGGACTGGGAGGGATTGGGGGCACTGGGAGGGCACTGGGAGGGGATTGGGGGCACTGGGAGGGACTGGGAGGGGATTGGGGGCACTGGGAGGGACTGGGAGGGGATTGGGGGGCACTGGGAGTGGGAGGATTGGGGGACACTGGGAGGGACTGGGAGGGGATTGGAGGGCACTGGGAGGGACTGGGAGGGGATTGGGAGGGCACTGGGAGGGACTGGGAGGGGATTGGGGGCACTGGGGGGCACTGGGAGGGACTGGGAGGGGATTGGGGGCACTGGGAGGGATTGGGAGGGACTGGGAGGGATTGGGAGGCACTGGGAGGGGATTGGGGGCACTGGGAGGGACTGGGAGGGGATTGGGGGGCACTGGGAGGGAGATTGGGGGCACTGGGAGGGACTGGGAGGATTGGGGGCACTGGGAGGGACTGGGAGGCACTGGAGGGACTGGGAGGGGATTGGGAGGCACTGGGAGGGACTGGGAGGGGATTGGGGGGCACTGGGAGTGCACTGGGAGTGCAGTGGGAGGCACTGGGACTGCACTGGGGGACACTGGGAGACACTGGGAGGCACTGGGAGTGCACTGGGGGTGCACTGAGAGACACTTGGGGGCACTGGGGGACACTGGGAGTGCACTGGGAGACACTGGGGTACACTGGGAGTGCATTGGGACACACTGGGAGTGCACTGGGGGACACTGGGAGACACTGGGAGGCACTGGGAGTGCACTGGGAGACACTGGGAGTGCACTGGGGGACACTGGGAGTGCACTGGGAAGCACTGGGGGACACTGAGAGACACTGGGAGTGCTCTGGGGGACACTGGGAGTGCACTGGGAAGCACTGGGAGGCACTGGGGGGACTGAGCGGGCGTGGCCGGTGGGCGGAGCCTGTCTGACCACGCCCCCCTCCCCTCCCCTCCCCCCCCCAGCCAACAGCAGCGCTGGGACCCCCAACGGGCTGGAGTGTTTTGGGTGCCCCGAGGAGGGGCCCTGCCCCCCCACCATGGTGGTCCAGTGCTACGGCGACCTGAGGGGCTGTTTCCATGGCAACGTCACCCTCAGGATGGGTGAGACCCCCGGGGGCAGGGGGTCTCTATGGGGTCCTTAGGGGTCTCTGGGGGCTTTATGGGGTCTCTGAGGGCTGTTTCCATGGCAACGTCACCCTCAGGATGGGTGAGACTCCGGGGGCAGGGGGTCTCTATGGGGTCCTTATGGGGTCTCTATGGGGTCTCTGAGGGGCTGTTTCCATGGCAACGTCACCCTCAGGATGGGTGAGACCCCCGGGGGGGGCAGGAGGGGTCTCTATGGGGTCTTTATGGGGTGTCTGGGGGGTCCCTATGGGGTCCTTATGGGGTCTCTGAGGGGCTGTTTCCATGGCAACGTCACCCTCAGGATGGGTGAGACCCCCAGGGGGGGGCAGGGGGGCTCTATGGGGTCCTTATGGGGTCTTTATGGGGTCTCTATGGGGTCCTTAGGGGGTCTCTATGGGGTCTCTGAGGGGCTGTTTCCATGGCAACGTCACCCTCAGGATGGGTGAGACCCCCGGGGGGGGCAGGAAGGGGGTCTCTGTGGGGTCTTTATGGGGTGTCTGGGGGGGTCCCTATGGGGTCTTTGGGGTGTCTGGGGGGTCCCTATGGGGTCTTTATGGGGTTTTTGGGGGGTCCCTATGGGGTCTTTATGGGGTTTTGGGGGTCCCTATGGGGTCTTTATGGGGTGTCTGGGGGGTCCCTATGGGGTCTTTATGGGGTTTTTGGGGGGTCCCTATGGGGTCTTTATGGGGTGTCTGGGGGTCTTTATGGGGTGTCTGGGGGCTTTATGGGGTGTCTGGGGGTTCTCTATGGGGTCTTTATGGGGTTTTTGGGGGTCTCTATGGGGTGTTTGGGGGGTCTGTGGGGTCTTTATGGGGTGTCTGGGGGGTCCCTATGGGGTCTTTATGGGGTCTTTGGGGGTCTCTATGGGGTCTTTGGGAGTCTCTACGGGGTCTTTATGGGGTGTCTGGGGGGGTTTTATGGGGTCTTTATGGGTTGTCTATGGGGGTCTGGGGAGTCCCTATGGGGTCTTTATGGGGTGTTTGGGGGATTCTGTGGGGGTCTTTATGGGGTCTTTGGGGGATTCTGTGGGGTCTTTGGGGTGTCTGGGGAGTCCCTATGGGGTCTTTATGGGGTGTTTGGGGGATTCTGTGGGGGTCTCTGTGGGGTCTTATGGGGTCCTGGGGTGTCTGGGGGTGTCTGGGTCATTGAGGGTCACTATGGGGTCTCTGGGGTCTCTGGGGTCTCTGGTGGGGCCCTCTCCTGACCCTCACCCCTGCCCCGCCCCCAGGTAACGTGACGATGTGGCGGGAGCTGCGCGGCTGCGTCCGGGACGGGAGCTGCTCCCGGGAGTGGCGCGGGGACGACGCGGCCTCGCTGAGCGGCTCCTGCTGCTCCGGCAACCTCTGCAACCGCCACCTGGCCGACAGGACCCTCTTCGACCCCGACCTGCCCCGCCTCGAGCTCCTCCCCCACGGACACGCCCCCACGGCCACGCCCAAGATGGCCGACAACGCCACCGCCAAGAGCGAGGTGGTCGCCGCCACCGCCACCGAGGGGGGCAACGGGGTGGTCGACGAGGCCACCGGTGACGCCGGCAAGGCCACCGGTCGGCCCGGGGTGGACGCCGGGGGGAGGAGGGCGGCCGGGGGCAAGATGGCTGAGGGGGGCGGTGGTAAAATGGCCGCCGGGGGCAAGATGGCCGCCGGTGACGGTGGCAAAATGGCTGAAGGCGACGGTGACAAGATGGCCGCCGGCGGCAAGATGGCTGAGGGTGACAGAGGTAAAATGGCCGCCGGGGACAAGATGGCTGAAGGCGACGGTGACAAGATGGCCGCTGGCGATGGTGGCAAAATGGCCGCCGGGGAGAAGATGGCTGTGGGGGGCGGGGACAAGATGGCTGCCGGGGACAAGATGGCTGCTGGGGACAAGATGGCCGGCGGGCGCCAAGGCCGCAAGGACGGGATCAAAGGCCCGTCAGGGCAGGGCCACCCCCTGGAGGGGCCGGGCTGGCTCCTCCCCTTCCTGCTCTTGCCCCTCCTCCGTTAGGGCGGGGTCTCCTCGTGTGTCCCCTCCCCCAAATATGGGGGGGGAGGGGGGTCAATAAAAGGTTGTGGTGGAATTTGGGGGTCTCCGAGTCGTTATTTGGGGGGGGAGGGTTTTAATAATGTGATTTATAATTCTGCGTAGAATTATGTGGGAATTTATGTAATTATGTGTAGCTAGTAATATAAACAAAGTAAATAAAAATACATATAAATATATATATAAATGAAAGAACCATAAAAATACCTGAATATGAAACTACTAGAATATAGTTACACAAAATTAGTAAATATATACATATAAAATTTAAATGAGGCATATAATTATATTTGTAGTTTGCATTATATAAGCAAATATATATTTAATATAGTATTAGTTGTGTAACTGTATATACAAAATGAATAATTACATATAAAATCACGCACCATTCACATATAATATAAAATATATATTTACTTCATTACGTAAGCGTGTTACCTGTATTTTTAATACCTATTACAACACGTGTTTTTGTTGTGTAAGTACATTGTTAATAATTAAATTTAATTTATAAACGCATAACAAATGTATCTAATGTAGTTTTTATGTGATATAAGTGTTAAAATACACTGAAAATTTAAACACATGGTTGAGAATGCATATTATAGAGTATATATATGTTTTATATATATATAGTGTATGTGTTTTATCTCCAACATAGAATACAAATCTTTTTTATTCTGTATTAAAATATTTAAATGCATAATATAGGATGTATACACATACATACATATGTTATGTTATATACATTACATGTATTTTTATATATAAATATAAATATATAAACTCCTTTTCTGGTTCTGCCCCCCCCCTGAAATGACCAAAACCAAGAGTTTTTTCCCAAAAAGAAAGCTTTAATAAATACACCGGCCCGTCCCCCACGCCAGGCGGGATCCCAAGGACAGGAACTGGGCGGGGGGGGGGTTTCCAGTTGGCTCCCAGTGCTCCCAGTAAGGGTTGGGGTTCCCAGGTGGATGGGAGGGGAAAAGGTGGGAAAAGTGAGGGGAAAAAGAGGTGAAAAACTGAGGGGAAATGGCAGAAAACGTGAGGAAAAAAGGGGGAAATGTGAGGGGAAAATGGCGGGAAACCTGAGGGGAAAAGGGAGGGAAACCTGAGGGGAAAAATGGAGGGAAACCTGAGGGGAGAAGGGTGAAAAATTGAGGGGAAAATGGTGGGAAACGCGAGGGGAAAAATGATTTGAAATATGAAGAGAAAAGGGGTGGAATACTGAGGGGAAAAGGATGGGAAATGTGAGGGGAAAATGGTGGGAAACGTGAGGGGAAAAGGGGGGGAAAACTGAGGGGAAAACGGTGGGAAAATGGTGGGAAACGCGAGGGGAGAAAATGGCGGGAAACGTGAGGGGAAAATGGCGGGAAATGTGAGGGGAGAAAATGGCGGGAAACGTGAGGGGAGAAAATGGCGGGAAATGTGAGGGGAAAATGGGGGAAATGTGAGGGGAAAATGGAGGGAAATGTGAAGCGAAAACGGTGAAAAATCGAGGGGAAAATGGTAGGAAACGTGAGGGGAAAAGGGGTGGAAAACTGAGGGGAAAATGGTGGGAAATGCGAGGGGAAAATGGCGGGAAACGTGAGGGGAGAAAATGGCGGGAAACGCGAGGGCACAAAATGGCCGCCCCTTGCTCCCACTGGGGGTTTTTGGCGCTTCCCCATCGGGGATTTTTGGGGCTGATTTTGGCTGGGAAGGTGGGATTTTTTTTTTTTTTTTTGGGGGGATGGAGGGGATTTTTTGGAGGGGATTTTCTGGGGAGGGGGATCCTGTGGGTTGTTTGGGTTTTTTTTGAGGTTCAGAAGGCCGCCCCGCCGCGGGTGAGGGTGAGCACGGCGTCCATCCAGATCCGGAGCGCCTCGGCCGAGGGAGCCACGAGCCAGAAGAGCCGCTCGTAGGTCTTGAGGCAGAAGGTCAGCCGGGGGTTGGGGCTCTTGGGGTGGGTGTGGGGGACACAAATGGGGACATTTTGGGGGGAGGTGGCCCCAGCCCCATAAACCCCTCAGTGGGTCCTGCGGAACCCCTGGGTGGGTCCCATGGGTGACCTAAGCCCATATAGACCCCCCCACCCCATAGAGACCCCTGAGAGGGTCCCATGGGTGCCCCCACCCCACAGAGACCTCCCCAGCCCCACAGAAATCCCCCCACCCCACAGAGACCCTCAGTGGGTCCTATAGGTACCCCCCACCCCACAGAGACTCCCCCCACCCCACAGAACCCCTGAAAGGGTCCCATGGGTGCCCCCACCCCAAATAGACCCCCCCACCCCATAGAGGCCCCCCCAGCCCCACAGAGACCCCTCAGTGGATCCCATGGGTGCCCCCACCCCACAGAGACCCCTGAGAGGGTCCCATGGGTCTCCCCACCCCATACAGACCCCCACCCCACAGAACTCCTTGAGAGGGTCCCATGGGTGCCCCCACCCCACAGAGCTCCCCTCAGTGGGTCCTACAGGTACCCCCACCCCAAATAGACCCCCCACCCCACAGAGCCCCTCAGAAGGTCCCGTGGGTGCCCCACCCCCAAAATTTCCGCACCTTTCCGGCCACCCTGCCGGGTCGTTACTCAAACCTCCTCGATGGCCTGGAAATAAATCACCCCCTTGAGCTTCGTCTGCGCCTGGTCTGGGGTCGGGGGGACACAGAGGAAGGGGATCATGGGGTGGGGGACACCCCAAAACACACAGAGACCCCAAAATCCCCCAAACCCCTCCCAGACCCCCCAAATCTTCCCACTCACCCCCAAAACCCCCAAACCCTCCTAGAGTCCCCCCAAAGCCCTCCCAGAGCCCCCCAAACCCTTCCCAGACCCCCAAACCCTTCCAGACCCCCCAATCTCCCCCAAACCCTCCCAGACCCCCCCCAAATCTTCCCACTCCCCAGACCCCCCAAACCCCTCCCAGACCCCCCAAACTCCTCATTGAGCCTCAATCCCCCAAACCCCTCCCAGACCCCTCAAACCCTCCCAGACTCCCCAAACCCCCCCAAACCCCTCCCAGACCCCCCCAAACCTCCCAGACCCCCCCAAACCCTTCCAGCCCCAACCCTCCCAGATCCCCCAAACCCCCCCAGACCCCCCAAACCCCCCCAAACCCCCCAAACCCCTCCCAGACTCCCCTAACCCCCCAAACCCCTCCCAGACCCTCCCAAACCCTCCCAGATCCCCCCAAACCCTTCCAGACCCCCCCAAACCCCTCCCAGATCCCCCAATCCCCCCAAACCCATCCCAGACCCCCCAAACCCCTCCCAGACCCCCCAATCCCCCATACCCCCTAGCCCCCGTACCCCCATAGTAGGCCAGGACCCTCCTGTGGGGGTCGAGGTGGAACCAGCGGCGCCTCCAGGTCTTGATGCGCCCCCCCATCTTGGTGAGGGGCCCCCTCAGGAACCCCCCCAGGACCTGCAGCCCCCCGACCGCCTCGGGACGGTGCCCCCGGGCCCGCAGGGCACAGAGCAGGTCCGGCTGCACCCCAAAAAAGGGGGGTTAGGGACCCCAAAATTGAGTCAGGGTCCCAAAATATCCCCTCCCAGGGCACAGAGCAGGTCTGGCTGCACCCCAAAAAAAGGGGGGTCAGGAACCCCAAAATGGGGATGAGGGACCCCAAAATACCCCCCCCCAGGGCACAGAGCAGGTCCGGCTGCACCCCAAAAAAAGGGGGGTCAGAGACCCCAAAATTGGGGGTCAGGGACCCCCAAAATATCCCCCCCAACGTCCCTCCCCCAGGGCACAGAGCAGGTCTGGCTGCACCCCAAAAAAATGGGGGTCAGGGACCCCAAAATGGGGGTCAGGGAGCCCAAAATATCCCCTCCCAGGGCACAGAGCAGGTCTGGCTGCACCCCAAAAATGGGGGTCAGGGACCCCAAAATATCCCCCCCAACCCCCCTCCCAGGGCACAGAGCAGGTCTGGTTGTACCCCGAAAAAATGGGGGGTCAGGGACCCCAAAAT